TATGTGAAAATTACACTTATTCAGTATGTTATTAGATCAAACTTCTAGTGTGGAATCAGGAAGATAGTCATCGTTTGTATAGATTTTAATAAGTATATTAATCAAATCAGAGCAATCAGCGGAACAAAGGCGCATCATCGATCTCAATGAGGTTTTTTGGGCATATAATTTGAAAACCCGTTTTATTCAGCATTGTAAACTGTTATGAAGCATTTATTCAATCTATATGCTTATTTGTGGCTCTGTTTGACTGAACCAGTGTTGTGGAATAATGAATCTAATACGTCGTTTATAAAGCATTTACAAGGCTGCATGCATTAAAACATGGACGCAAAGTGGTATAAGAGCTAATTTTGTTGACTGTATTCACCTTTATACAGCATTATTGTAAAGCAATACAACGAAATCTAATAATGGAGCTATAAAACATTTATAAGACGTCTAATAAAGCATTTTATTAAATTAATTGAAAACAGTCGAATTAAAGCGTAAATGTATGTGCAAATTACACTTATTCAGTTTACTATTAGATCAAACTTCTGGTTCTGAATCAGGAAGACAGTCAACGTTTATAAAGCTTTTAATAAGTAAATTAGTCATATCAGAGCAAACGGCGGAATAAAGGCTCAGCTTTCGATCTCAATGAGCTTTTTTCAGCACATAATTCGATATCCTGTTTTATTCAGCAATGTACACTGTTATATATGTCTGTGGTACAACGTTATATAACACAACCGATTCATTGATGTAATATTGTATCTGCTTTTTGCTATTACATCATTATTTCATACATCAGCTTGAATTACGTTGATCGATATTACATTTTTTTTGCAGTGCATGAGTTTTAACCAAGGTTGCAAATACTCATTTCAGCTAAAACAATGTTTTTTTTTAACTATGAAATAATTTGATGCCATGATCATATTTTGAATTGGTAGGATACAAGAAGAGGTTGCAAATGATGTGTTTGGCATATTAAACCTGTTTATTTCGCTTCATGAGAGTCAGAATCAGCGATTTTTCACACACTCACTCACTCACTCACTCACTCACTCACTCACTCAGCGATCAGCAAATCGCTGATTGTGACTCATAGAAAGCAAAATTTACAGGTTTTATGTTTCAAACGCATACTTTGTAACCTCTTCTTGTAAGTTACAAGTAAAACATGCCATCATACCATCTTTTGGTTTTATTATTCCGAAAAACATTATTTTAGCTGAAATGAGTATTTGCAACCTTGGTTTTAACAATGTGCACTCAAAAAATTCCACACGTTTGATCGAAGTGTTTAAACACTTGATTTTTTAAATGCACAATCACATTTACTTTAAGTATATTTCACCTTAGTTCAATGTGTTATACACGTTAATTTCTAGTGTTTCAAACTTTGAAAACTTGAAAATCTTTCACTATCTATTCAAGTGTATTGCACATTGAATCACACTACTGTTCAAAACAGATGGATTTAAAGTGTTTTGCATTTCAATACGATGTGAATTGCTTGCTCAGAAAGGTAAACATCGAAAACAAGAGTTGTGACTTTATCCTATCAACCCGCCTCATATATGAGAACAACCGTGACACAGTGAGATCGAACGAAGACTCCGACAGCAACACACCCCAACAGTCCATGATCGAATCCCAAATCAGACCCATTAAAAAGATATGTGAAAGCTCTGGCCTCTGAAATTTGTTTATATATTTGTCGATTCATTTTTAGAGTCGGTGAATTAGAAGTCGAATTAAGTAGAATATTGTAGAATATTGAACTATGAAGTGCAAAGCTATTGATATCACCATATGAGGCACATACACTGAACGAATTTGACATATTCCTGTTATGTGGAAGTCTAATAAATTTGCGCTATAAGATAATCCATTGAAAATGATATGATTGAAAATGTGTCAGGTAAATTCTATATGAATATCTGATACATTTACAATGCTGATAATTTGGTAACTTTTATATGATCGTCATATGATAAATGAAAATCGATTAAATTATAATAATTAACTGAAATGGATTTGAAACCCATAAGCATAAGCTATACTTTTCACCACAATATAATATATGTGTCATAAATCAATCGAAGTACAGTTTATGTGAAAATAACATGAAATTTACTTCTTCTTTTGACACATATATTCAATCGATTTCTAAAAATAAATTCGAAAAAATAAACATCAGGCAGTGGGAGCTTTCACAGTTGTGCCTTTTTTTTATTGTAGCTGATTTGGGATTCGATCAAGATCTGTTGAGGTGTGATGCTTTCGGTGTCTGTGCTCGATTCCACTGGGCCACGGCTGACTTCAAGATTGAGCTCGTTCAAATAGCATGAAGTAAGAACAGCTCTCCCGACATGGAATGTAGTGCAACTTTATGCTCGTTTTGCTAGAGTGAAGACAAATAGCACTGACAAATTTATGTTCCGTTTCGGTGGTGTGGTTTGTTCAAATCTTTCTTAATGCACCTGTGTGCAATAAATCAACGACTAAATTATATGATTTGATAGAACTGGCTCATGAAGTTCGAGTACTACTTAGGGCTGGAATCTGAATTAGCCGTGTAGAAGGCTTACAATTAGAATCATAGCAAAGTAAATATTACAGTAGAATCATTTTTTTTTTCAATCTCAATACATTCTTTTTTGGAACCAATTATCATATGAATGAGTGTACGTTAACATCGTTGAAAATTGTTTCAATAATTTATAAAGAACAATCATGTAAGATGTATTTTATTGGGAGCGATGAAGAAAAACATGCAAAAACAAATGCTTGCTGTTGGATTTCCTAAAAGGCATTTCTATATGACTATTTAATGATTGGGATAGATCTGTTTACAATCTTTAAACGTCAAAAATCAAAGCAAGCTATTACAATGAGATATACATGTTTTCCTATACTGCAAAGTTAAATGACAGTCCAATAGTTTCTACATGTCTATTTACACGCGACATATCAACAAACGTCAAAAATCAGTAAAAGCAACTCCAATAAAATATACATGATTACCCGCATAAACGCGAACCATAAATTGACCTTACCTAAAATGGTTAAAAATTGTTTATAATCCCTGCTAAACTTTAACTGAAATGGTTATGGAACTTTACATGAACGTTTAATGATAAAGTTTCAACCTTATGTATTATGGTTTTTTGGAACTGGACCTTACAAATAATGGGTTGTTAAGAACCATTACCATTCCAAATTCTTGTTTTCTCCATACATTTTCAGAAAGAGAACTATATAAGAACGTTTTTACTTATGATTTGAGAACATTAATGGTAATGGTTATGGTAGTCAGTAAGGTCCATTAATGGTTTTGTATTATCGCTCAACTTTACGTGGAATATATCGTGAATTGGTAATCAGTAAATTACAGGCAACCAATTCGCGATATATTCCACATAAAGTTGATCGATGTTAGAAAACCATTCGTGGACCTTACTGACTACCATAACCATTACCATTAAAGTTCTCAAACCATAAGTTAAAAGGTTCTAATATAGTTCTCTTTACGAAAATGTATGGAGAAAACAAGAATATGGAACGGTAATGGTTCTTAACAACCCATTATTTGTAAGGTCCAGTTCCAAAAAACCATAATACATAAGGTTGAAACTTTATCATTAAACGTTCATGTAAAGTTCCATAACCATTTCAGTTAAAGTTTAGCAGGGATTATAAACAATTTTTAACCATTTTAGGTAAGGTCAATTTATGGTTCGCGTTTATGCGGGTATCTTATAAGATATATATATTTTACACAGCAAAAAAAATGTAATATCGATCAACGTAATTCAAGCTGATGTATGAAATAATGATGTTATAGCAAAAAGCAGATACAATATTACATCAATGGATGTAATTTTGTTCGCAAAATCGATGTACATCGTACAATGTGACACAGTCGATGGATTGACCTGGTTGCAGCAGTTTCGATGTAATATTCAACAACTTTTTTTGCTGTGTAGCGAGCAATATTCATCATGAAAACAGGTATATTTTACTGAATTTTCTCATAGTGCAAACTTATATGATTTTCCATTAGTTTCTAGATGTCTGTTCCCACCCATGACATATCAACAGTTTTTCACCATGAAATATATCAGACAATATTCATATACTTCTTACCTTCGCTAACCACGTTCGAAGCAAAGTATTATCAAGTACTAAGTATGTGAAATTACGATAGAAATCATTCCATATCGCAGTCATAGTTTTTAAGTGATAATCCAATGGAATCTATCAATCATCACATAGAATGAATAAATCTGCTGACATTGCTATGTTATAAGATGGATCCAATAAACGGTACATGTCGATTTGTTTCAGTGTAGAATCCAAGTGTGTCACAATTCAAATCCATAGTGTTCCGGCATGGTTCATAGCATAAGATTCACACATGAAATGGATGTGTTTCACAATAAGCGCAAAATTAAGTGTGAGACACATGAGGGTGACGTGTGCACGTGTGAAAATTTTTGCATACAAATAATCATTGAATTTTTATTAGTGTGATAATCATGTAGGATTTTACATGGAAATTTGCCAATAAAAATGTGTCGAATTTTATGAGTATACACAACCAGCGAAATTACCTCTGTACAACTTTTTTTTCTGTGTATGAGTGACTATGTACACGCTACCTACCCAAAAAGGGTAAACAATGTTGGGAGTGACAAGTTGACAAATGGACAACATCGACATGTTCATTTTTGAACTTGTCTCTCTCAACATAGTTTACCCATTTTTGGGTAGGTTCAGTTTTCACGATCTGGGTGTATTCTACCCAAATTTAGGCAGTTTTGAAATAGCGTGAAGAAATTTTTTTTGAAATTTGCCGTGATATTCGAACCAAAATTCTAACCAATTTCTATTTCTAACCATTTTTCATATAGTTCACCCCTTGCTAATCAAAACAAATCACGCACATAACGATACCAACAAATAAACAGTATAGTTTACTGTCACACTACTGTCAAACCAACCGTGCTTCCCTCTCGCGATTCCCGTTTTCATATCAAAATGTGCTCACGATCGTGCTCGTGCAGATAATTTACGCATTACCCGAAGATTTTCGTTAATATTTCAGTAAAAGTGCTACCAAAATGTATCGAATGCTTAGCTTAAGAAGCCTATCTAAGAATAAGAACAAAATATTATCCAATAAGACTAGTGTTGTGCGGCTCAATCCGGAGCTGATATGCTTCGAGAATTTTACCCATTTATGTAACCAGCAGGGTGGAGCTGTGCCCGAAGAGATCACACTGCTGAGAAATGGTGAGTTAAATCGAAATTCATTGTCGCTTGACACGCAGCTATTTTTGATCTGGATGCGACTTTTAAAGATTCGACGGGTATTGCGTATTATTTAAATTCTGTATTCCCTAGCCGCTTCCTATCTTGGGAGGTTATGTTTTGTTTGTGATGCAATCAAAACAAACCAAACCGCAGCTATGTAAACAAACATTGATCATACTGATTTTTTTATGTTTCAGATGTTTCCACAATCAAATTCGACATAATCAAACGTGTTCACTCGACTACTCCAACACTCGAAGTGCTGGAGCTTGCAGAAAAGAAAAAACGGAAGAAAAGTACTGGCAAAAAATTTACAGAATTGTTGAAAGGTAAATTTTCTGGTTTAACTTTTCGAAGAGATGAATATGATGTAAATGAATAATTCATATTGAATTTCAGTTACTGACACATCAACCAAGCAGACCAAAGCTTCGATTCAGCAATTGAAAGCTAAGAAGCTGTCGGATTTTATCAATTCACAAATTTCTCGCAAACAGTGCCCGTCTTCAGTGGGGGAATCCTCTGTCGGTCAGAGGAGTAGCTTGCAGAACACTCCAGAAGCATCCGAATTAAATTTTGTAGAAACTCCCGTAATCTACATCGGCAAAGATATGAAGGAGACAGAATTACCCAATGCAACATTGGCAGAAATTCTTGAAAGCTATCGCACGCTCAAAGAACTTCACGAGAGGCGTCATTCGGGTGGAGCAATAGCCGTGGAGGATGCCATTGAAGAGGAATTTCTTGAACCGAACGAGGGTTTAGTAGAAGAAGGGATCATTGAAATTCCCCCTGTTCAGAAACAGAGACGTAAGTCAAAGAAAGATAAACAAGCACCAGAAAAAGGCAAAAAGTTCTCTTCGAAGTATTACAAAAGCTCCGAACTGGAAACGTTGGCACGACAGAAAAGCTTCCACGTTACGCTGCATGCCTATTTGGATATCTGCCTCACTAGCGGGATGATTAATCGTGCCTATGCAACCGTGCTGAACTACAGGCACAAGCGGAAACGAAAAGTTTTAGATGTAGAAATCTACAACATCCTTTTACATGGTTATGCCGAGAATGGTAACATTTTGAAAATCAAGGACATCATGAAAATTTTGAAGGAGGACAACATTGAACCGAACCCACAGACCTATGCTGCCATTTTCGAGTGCCTTGGTCGGTTAGAAACGACCGAAGAAGTGAAAGACGATGCACATGCCTACCTCCTAGAAATGGAAGCCAAAGGATACACTATGGACATAGTGTTGGATCGCAGTAAGTTTATACGTGACCAGCGAGAAACTGTGCTTAGTTTGTTCAGTGAGCTGAACGCAGGTTATAGTCCGAAATATACTGCTCCGCCGTTACTTTACAGCAACCATTTACTGAATGTGCTGAATGAGACCGTTAAACCAATCGATGCACAGAAACTCAGCGAAGGTGATGCAAAAGTGACCGGTTCAGAAATTATGATCCCAAAAGCAGGATTCACTCGGGATCAACTGGAACAGTTTAGTAAATCGCAAGTAGAACTCGAATTGAAGGGATATCTCACGGTGAAAAGCATACAAGAATTTCCCGAACTGAACGAAACGGTTAAGCAATATGTGAGTATGATGGTAATTGATGAAATCGGTTCGACTGAAACTTACTGTTCTTTTGGACATTCTAGCGCAAAGAACTGGAGGAGCTTCGAAAAGTTTGGGCCAAACAAATCACGATGGCGTTTCACCGCGACGTAAACACTCTGAAAGCAGTGACAGAATCCAAATCGAGCCGAGCCATAAATCTGTTCCCCTACCTGAAAGCCCTCAGCGTTCAGCAATACACGGAAATCATGCTCGACGAAGCACAGATGTTAATCGAGGGATCGGACACATTCAGCATCATAGTTTCCCAACTACACAGAGAACTGGGTCGAAAGGTGGAAGCTCGGTATCACGTCGAACAGAAACGCCGAAGTGGAGTGCTGGATAAGACGTGTGAAATTTATAGTTTGTACTGCGACGCCCTTGCGGAAGGGAATTGCAGTGACAACTCGAGACAACTATGGCAAAGGTTGGTGCATGAAAACAGACACGAAGGTCCCAGCCTAGATATCCAGAGTGTTACTTGGCCGAAAGCTGCGGTTAATGGAGTGGGAAAATTCTTGTATAATATCCTTAAGAACGATCTTAAGATCAATGTAAATGCTACCTCCCGAGGGAACCGACAGGTAAAACTGGTTCCTGCCTTTTACTCGCTGTTCAGGTATGAGGCGAAATTAGCTAAGGAACAAATAAAACCACACCCAGTTATGATTAAGCTTCATCGAAAGTCCCAGCAAGATAACCTCAAGTTCGATATTAATTTAGTACCGATGGTGTGTCCTCCCCAGCCTTGGAGTACACCGGTGAATGGCGGATATGTTTTGGCAAAATCAGATCTCATTCGATTGCCTCAACAAGCTCACCAACAGTCCGAACGAATCAGTGAGGCCAATCCCCAGGATATGTACCCAACTCTGGATGCACTCAATCAGCTTGCAAGTATCCCTTGGAAAATCAACGGAGAAGTCCTGGATATAGTGCTGGAGGTGTTTAACAAGGGTGGTAATGCAAAGCTCGACGTTCCAGAGCCACCCAGTTCACTACCTCCGATTGTAGATGCAATACCTCGAGACAAAATGACCGGCTTTGATCGGTTCAATATGATACGAAAAAAGATGACTCATCGCCGGAAACAGGGCGACATGTATAGTTTATGGTGCGACGCTTTGTATAGGCTTTCGTTGGCAAACCACTTTCGTGATAAGGTATTCTGGCTTCCACAGAACATCGACTTCCGTGGTCGAGTTTATCCCATTCCACCACACTTGAATCACTTGGGACACGATCTAGCCCGCTGTTTGATGGTCTTCCACCAAAAGAAACCTCTTGGACCTGATGGTTTCAATTGGCTTAAGCTACACTGTATCAATTTAACCGGATTGAAGAAACGAGATTCAGTTGAAGACCGGTTAAAATATGCAGACGAAATAATGGACGATATTTTGGACTCTGCAGATCGTCCTTTGACTGGAAGAATGTGGTGGAGTTCGTCCGACGAACCATGGCAGACGTTAGCTTGTTGTATAGAAATCGCCAAAGTTCATCGTTGCCCTGATCCGGCCAAATTTATGAGCGGTTTCCCAATCCATCAAGATGGGTCCTGTAACGGCCTCCAACACTATGCAGCCCTTGGTCGTGATACAGCAGGAGCGGTTAGTGTGAACCTCGCACCTTCTCATGTACCCCAAGACGTTTATAGTGCGGTAGTGGCCCTGGTGGAGGAAAGCCGCGCCAAGGATACTGAAAACAACGTCAAGGTTGCTAAAATCCTCGAAGGCTTCATCACACGAAAAGTCATCAAACAAACTGTGATGACCACTGTTTACGGTGTAACCCGTTACGGCGCCCGAAAACAAATCGCTCGTCAACTTGAATACATCGACGAGTTTCCAGAGGAATGGGTCTGGCCTGCTTCCAGCTACCTAACAGTGAAAACCTTCAATGCCCTGAGTGAAATGTTCACCTCGGCGAAGGAAATACAAGATTGGTTTACCGATTGTGCGCGGCTCATTTCGGCCGTTTGCGGCCAGAACGTCGAATGGATCACCCCTCTTGGACTACCGGTAGTTCAACCCTACAATCGCTCCGATAGACCAATTTCGTCTAAAACGGTTCATTTTCCTGAACACTTTTCGATGGACTCGTACGAAAAGCCCAACATCATGAAGCAGAAAAATGCATTCCCGCCCAACTTTGTGCACTCGCTGGACTCGAGCCACATGATGTTGACCTCGCTGTTCTGTGAACGGGCCGGATTAACATTCATTTCTGTGCATGATTGCTACTGGACTCATGCCTGCACGGTGCCCACGATGAATAAGGTAAGTTTAGTCAATCGGTTTAATGACAATATCTAACTAAACATTTTCACAGATATGCCGTGAACAGTTTGTCGCCCTGCATTCGGAACCGATTCTCGAAGATCTTTCCAATTTTCTGGCACAAAAGTATAGCTACAATGAAAGGTAAGTTTGAAAAAAAATTAGGTATTTTATTCAGCCAAGCTCAAACTGGATCTCCCTACAATTCCAGTGAAATCACCAATGATGGATCGGTGATAGATCTGACTAAACGTAAACTGAACCGCATACTGCACCAATATCCGGACAAGGGAGACTTCGATCTGCGGCAAGTGTTGAAGTCGGTGTACTTCTTCAGCTAAAGGTGCATAATGCAAAAAAAATCTTACTAGGGATATATAGGGGTAAGGTTAGAGTCTAGTCAGTTGTGATTTGTGCATTCGATCGAAACTCGCCAAGTGTTTTTTACTTGGCCTCCGAACAGTTGGTAAGTTGAACCATTGTGATTGTAGCGATTGTTTATCGCTCATTTTTTTTAACTCGCCGCCCTAATCATTTACATAAGGCTTTATGTGGTAGCAAGCAGGACTGATACAGAATAAAGTGTTGTATGCATCGTATCGATGGCATCGTTTGGTGGTAGAGCTAAAAGAAATGTCCGTCATTCTCATTCGTATATAATGTGTACTCTGCCGGTGGACGCATAACGTTCAACGTCAGCATCTTATTTTTGAACTTGTCGTGGGTATCCAATCCCGAAGCGTACAACGAAGGATCAGATTAGAATCCCAAGGATCTTCGGGGTTGAAATTTTTACCATTTCCCCTGCGTTTTTCCTCAGATATTTGCCACTCATTAGTCTCAATTGGAATGGACTTCGAAGGGATAACCACAGCTGGAGCTGAGTGGATTGGGCGAAAACATCTCGAGTTCGGCGCCGGAAAAGTTCTTCCGCTGAAGCCTGCGGAGACCGAGAATCCTATTTTCGAAGCATAACAGGTCTTCATGGGGAGATGTTTGATAGTTTTCATTTACAGCTGCATCAGATCGTAGCTTGGCAGGCTTGAACGGTTGGTGGTGTGTAATTAGGAGGTGGTAGAAGGCATGATAATCAGCTATACGATAGGCTTTGGTGACATCTTAGAGGACACGCACTTTTGAGTCGATCAGATGATATAAACCTGGTTCGACGATGTTGCTCTTAGGGTAAGATTGAACTATCGCCCGTTCGAGCTCTGGGTTTACTATGAGTTTCATTCATCATCAATCATTGAATCAACAATTCAAAGGGACATCGAGCCAGAATCTAGTGGACGGGTTGTATTTGCTTGAGGCTTTGATGGCTTCCACCCAAGTAGCAATTTTGGTTTGTGAGGGTTTACACCATGATTTATACTTGTAGAATGCTTTAAAACTTCGATAAAACTTTCAATGTTACTTGGGCAGTTTTTTCCTTTTGGTTTGTTTTTTCCGTCGATCTTGTTTTCCGTGCTGAGCACCAATGCTACCGACGTGCCAGGAAGGCAGCTCCCACACCTGGACCCTACCTATCGACCCATCAACTCATGAACCGGGGACCAACGGCTTTACTTCCCATCCGAAGGAAGGCGTGATCAGAGATGTTATGCCTCAGAACATCCCAGCGGCGCCGACTGGGATTGAACCCAGGCCTGCTGGGGTGAGAGGTAATCACGCTTACCACTACACCACTGGCGCCGTTACTTACTTGTTACTTGTTACAACCTCTTCAGGGTTGCCAAACTCGTAGAATACTGACACCTTGATAGGCAAACTTTGATTGTCCTTGATAGGCACGTTCGGCACAGTGCTTGGCAGAGCTGTCGGCACGAATTAAGGTGTGTAGAGTTGCTACCATTGGTGTTTGTATTTCTTTTAATAAGGTGATCCATGAGACGTTTCGAAGTTGACCTGACAGCTAAAAAGCTCACTTATCGCACCAATACAACCGGACGTAAAAATCTCTATAGCAACGATAGCAACGGACAGCTGAGATTGAACCAATGATTAATCGTTAGAAATCAAGAATTACTAGAAAAACTATGCATGGGATTGATCATGATCCGACAAAAATGTATCCAAGATTTTTTGAAGACCGGTTTGGAGTATTATTTGAGAATGAAGCATAAAAAAATAATTGGAAAAACTTTCAGTGAGGAAAATCAGGATAAAACATTGTCAGGTTTTTCCTTATTTTACTTGCACAGGAGGCGTACCAGCCCCAGGCTGGAAGCCTTCCTAATACAGAAAACTTAACTTAACTTAACTTATTGTACTTGCAATTTTCTTCCAAATTTCATTAAAAAACATTTTTCAGATTATATTGTTTATGGATTGCTGAGATAATTTTCTTATCATTTCACTATACACTACACACGATGCTTGGATCATGAGTTATGAATTCCGGGAAAATCCGAAAACTTCAACTATAATTTTCCGGAAAAATTAACCACCTTGAATTGTTTCATTTTTTTTTTTCGTTTAGATTACCATAAACTCCGCTAATAATATTTGAATTGATATTTTGCTTAACGCCGTGTTCGGGGTATCATCTAAACCATTTGTGGAATAGTTCAATTATTTTACTTATCATTCGTTTATGTTTTTTATTAGGGTCTTCCTGCGGCCGAAATTTCATTGATTCTTTCGGCCCAAATATGTTCGATAATATAAGAAAAACCCATATCTTAAAAAAGTCCATAACTTTTTAATATGTAGAATCCCGAATTATAAGTCCTAACATAATATAAACAGAGACAAACAGACATAACACATTGAATATTTCTCATCTGTGGTGGGTAGTACGCTGAACAGATGGCGGTAGTGTGTAAACGTCAAACGAAAGGGAATTGACTATGCGCGCCACAGGTGTCTGACTGAGATACTTTTAAATTGATCGTTAAATGCTTGTTCGATGAACAACTTCTGAGTGTTGTGTCTTTTTTCTCTGTGATATAAACATATTCGAAGTTCATCTAAATGTACGGTAGCCCTGAGAATACACCTTTTAAATTAGAAGTGATAAAAGGATCCATAAAACAAACCTACTCCTTAAAAACACACAAACGATCTATAAAACTCCGGTGAAAATATCTAATAAAGTGTGGCGCGCAGCAGTGAGCAGGGAGGCCTGGAGCTACAATTACTAGCGCTGAAATGTAAGTCAATCGCAATCAACCGACACCTACAAGAGAGAATCCCTTCCTTTTTATAGATCCCTTCTTTTCCACGATAATCCCTGCCCAATCATCTCAATAGATCTTCCCATCCTTAGACAAATCCTATCAAACTTCTCAAATTCTCCACCAAATGCAACATAACCCCTCCGCCGATCAAATCCACAAGCGCACTTCGTCTAGCAAACCGAGCTGCCAAGGGTGGAACGTAACAGTCCAACAAATGACCGTGCGTGGCCATGGCGAAACATTGCATCGATACAGATTACTTCAGCGCAGCGTACGAAACTTTACTTGTTAGTGAACGAGAAGATCGAGCACCGCAAACTAATATTCGTGATACGGCAAGTAGATGTCGAAAACTGTACACATTCTGGCATCAATACAGCAGAAACTCGCTTCCACAAGTAAGTTCAGAACTATTCCACAGCCGCAGACAGTAATGAGCAAAGGCGGGCGCATACTTTTTGCCTGTAGATTTGAAGACATACTTCAAATCTCCGCGTACATCGTACGGGTTAGGCAAAAGGTGTGCGTTTGACTTTGTACTATCGCATTAATGGCCCTTCGCTCATTTTCAACTTCTATTCAATTTTCAAACCGCCGTACTCTAACGGATTTATCCACCTACCCTCTTCTAAGATCATTCTCTAGCTAATAAATTATCACACTAAAGCTTCATGTTAGATAGCATTTCCAACCAACCCTAAATGAACGCGTCATTGGGACGGTACTAATGTATATTTTTGGTCGCTATTGAAAATTTAGTCGATTGCTGAATTTATGTATGGAGAGAGTAGTTGGACAGCTCAGGTGCTACTAGCGTACAGCACAATCGAGTAGTGCACGGTGTTATGACGCGGAAGTAGCACTTTTCAATCGGGAGAGACGTGGCTTAGAGATTTACAAGAATGACTGCACTGCCGGTGGAAGCATAACTGTCCCATAATTCGACTTTTTTTGGGATTATGATGCTTAACGAGATAAATCAATACATATTTTTGAAATATTATATTCAAACATGTAATTTGTTCTAGAAAAATTTAAAAAAAAAAATGTAAAGTCGTTTTGTCCCATTGCAAAAATTCACGCATATCTGTCCCACTGCTCCAATTTTTAATACGTATAAGAAATTAATCAAAAATTATAGTCTGGTATCCAAATAATACATCGTTAACATATTACAAGCTCCAAACGATTGCCCAAATGGTAAAATTAATCTTTTAATTAATTGGATGATACCTCGATAACGTCGTAATCACATTAACACTTTTTTAAGGAAAATTTGAGCTATCATTCTCAGTTCTGTTACTATTTACAAACAAATAAATTAAAAACTGTACTAATCAACTTGTAACACCTTATCCTATTTGTACCTTTTCGTGACACATATGATTATTTGGTATTGAAAAACTATGGAGTAAAATGATGAGATTTATTTAAAAATAAAAGAAATGCATACAACGGTTAACCTTAAATAACTATCATTCCTATGCATGTTGCTTGGTCGGAAGAGCAACTAAAAATAATGTTTCGTCTTCTCCAATAACAGGTACGACAACTGCCAACAGAGAGGCTTTCCTATCTACTTCAATTCCACAAGGAGACCTTTGCCAGAGTACGTTAGCTTCAGTAGAGTACGTATCCTTTTCGATCAGCTGGAGTTGTTTCTTGGAAAAAAAATTTTGCGGTATTTAAGGTCCTCACTGTTGATGTTACTTGCGTATCCTAGCTCATAACTTCCTTTTTGAAAAACCAGTTTTCTCATGATGTCCACGATGGCTTGAATAAGTTCAGCGTGTACTGTGAGACATTAATCTTGGCTTGGAACGACACGTTCGAGACGCATTTTTTTCAACCGCTGTGTGAAATGAATGAGCGGCCATAAAAGTAAGGCCTGATTCAAAAAACTTGAACAGTATTTGCTCAGCTTGAATTTCCGTACTGTTTATCAGAAGGATGATGTGTTGAAACTAATTCCAATTCTTGTTTTGGGATGAGCAACTGTCCAACCAAAATGTAGGTTTGTTAAGGTGAGCATGCTTATTAATTACTCTGCAGTTTTAACATTTTTGTGTTTTTAAACATGGGACAGTTATGCTTCCACCGGCAGTGCATATGTTGCAGTGATTGTATGGTATTCAAAAGCATAGGAAAATGCAAATTTTGATACTTTTCCTAAAAAGATTTTTTTAAGATCGATGTGTAAGTGAGACCGTTGGTCCCGGGTCCATGAGTTGAAGGGTCGATAGGTGGTAGGGTCCAGGTGTGAGACCTGCCTCCCTGGCGTCGGTAGCATTAATACTCAGTACGGAAAACAAATCAAGGAAAAGCAAAAAAAATACTATACGTTTATGGGTAATTCGTACAATTTCAATGCTCATTCTTTACCAATTTAACGGTACATTATTGTGTTGCTAAATTTTCCATAAAGTTTGGATCATATTAATATTTTTTATGACGTTTATAGGGATTTTCACCGGGGTTTTATGGATAATTTAGGAGTTATATAAGGAGCATTTTTCAATTTGCTATGGATCAGTTATTAGTTTGTATATGCAAAAGTATGTATGCCATTTTAAAAGTAGACTTAATTTTTTATGAATTCGATAATTTTAGGCTGTATTAAAAATCTTTTGTTCTAGCTTTTATTCAAAAACGACTTTTGGCATCTCAAACTTTCTGGGTGGAAAAGGGATAATACAACGATATTATATTTGATGTCCAGATATTTACTACTCCAGGAAAAAAACATGATTCTACAGTTTATATAAATGTACAATTGGAAACGTTTTTATTTTGGAAACCATTTAATGAACATAAAACAGTATGCAATGCATTTCAAAGGTACATACGGTACAATAAATAACATTTAATAACATGTTAGCATTCGAAACATTTAAACCAATTACTTAAGGCAAAAAAGTGGATGTTTCTATACTCCCACCTCAAGTATTTTGACTATACGTGGCATGTAATGCGTGTACCCCCACCACCTCCTGCGTTACGTTGTATTAGAACGGGATTTTGTAGTCGCAACAATTTTATTAAGAATGTCCTTCTAACACAGGTGAGGTCATTTGTTACTTTATCGGGATCTAGATTTAAACGCGTGATTGACAATTTATTACTAAATTAAACCACTACACTACAACACTTGAATACTCTGTTTCAACTGCTCAAGTGACTGTTTTGCCACATTTGCTAGAATACCCTCCGGAGATGAAGGATCTTCCCATTCCAGTATTTTTGCACATTCTTCCAACATAAGGGCTGCTTCCCTGAGCTTTTCCTTCAGTGGATCTCCATCTAGCACGCCTTGACGGTACTTGGACTGCGAAAGCATTACGATCGGTCCATGCAGCTCGTATAAGATCATTGCCCGGGATCGAGTTTTCCCTGGCTCAAATATGTTCAATACCCGCAGAATATCTCGACACAATTCAATTTTACGTTCCAACAAAATATCCGGAAGTTCTTGCATTTCATATCCCGGTACTCTACCGTACAGTTCAATCAGACTTTGACGGATAGATATATTGATGTAATGTAACGGATGAAGAATGCTTCGGTACTTCTTATAAACCCTCTCAAAGGCCTCTAGTCTTTCCGATCCGTACTCCATGTAAGCCAGTTCATCTAGTTCGGCTTGCATCACTTGGGCGGCTCTCTGAACGGCAGCTCCCTTTATTTTGAATTCACAGTGTGTACACTTCCAATCAGCTTCATCATCTATTAATCCAAATACACAATAGATAAGCATTCGTTTCTCTGCAGAAAGAAATGTAAACTTACCCAAAGGATCACTGGACTCGATTAAGCCATTATCACATTTCTGACATTTCAGTGAACTGAAATGGGTGCCAATTTCGGTTGGATCCAGACAGCGTGCACATCGACAGGAGAAGAATTTGCCATGCTTTAAAGCAGCCTGTCGCACGCTGGTTCCGTTAAGCGTGTATGTGTAGGTGGTGTATAGTTTTTCACCCTCTGCAACGTCGATTGCCGTTCTTGCAATTAATCTAGTAAATGAAACATTATTTTAAAAAAATAATACTTTTTTTTATATTTGGAAGTAGCTGCCCAAGTATTTATGCTTGCTTTCCGTTGATTGTCTAAGAGTATTCATCGTACGAGTGCAAATACGCAAAATAATGCCCCCAACGCAATGCAAAAATGGACTTTGAATCACCCTAACATGGATGCTATTATTTCGTTTGAATAAATTGAAAGACTCTTTACAAATGTATCAACGGGAAAGGAATTTTCGAATATGCTCGGTTTTCTATTTTTAACCCAAATGCAAATCGTTTTGGTCTACTGCTAACAGCCAGCATGGTGTATAGCAATGTAGTGCGTGAAAAACGTTGAGCATGTTGATACCCATTAGCGAAGTGTGAAACTAATTTTCGCACAGATTTATAACTGTAAACATTTACCTGTAATCGTTGCTGGGATGAATCGAATGTGTTACGTTAGGCACACAGGAATGCGCCATGATGGCCAACTTCGGATATAGACCTCGCACACCGTAGCCATTGCGTGTCCGCGCTTCAAATGCGTTCACCTCAAGAATGCCTATCACCTGTTGAATCAACTCTTCTGGGAAGCGATCCTTCAGTCCACATGGGCCACGCAAGTAGCCAACAATATTCTGCTGGTCATGTTTCCATATCGCATCATCCTTTCGTGCATCATGGTGGTACTCCATCACACTGATTTCCGCATTCCACCGTTCCGGGTGGTCTTCCTTTGCCAATAGCACTCTCAATGGTGTTATGCAATCCAGCTGCAAACAACTGGCAGTTGAATCTTCAACATTTAGGAACTTGACCTTATTCTTCACAAATAGTTCACATTCCTTCTTGTGATACACAATTTCGTCCCTATTAGCACTACATTCTTCACATAGTGGCCAACCGCACTCGGAGCATTTTTGACCGCTCACTCCTCCATCCACTGGGCATGCACATTCCAAACATATTGGAGAACTGTCCACTTTAGGCCCAATCGCGAAAGGTGTTTCCTCCAAAATAATTTCGCCAGCTGTCAGATCCTTCGTTGCTACACCGTATCGTCCTAGCTCAGGACTTTCGAGCACTTTGAATGCTTCGCTCATACTGTTATCTTGTGATAAGAAATGTATGTATTTGGTCACTTATTATCTTTCTATTATTATGGCTTTTGAAAAACTGATCCGAAAAAAATTTCCTCCCCAAATATATATAGGCAGTTCAGACATACATGTTCACTCTACCGATTCTAGAACAATATTGCGAATAAAGCCGCGCAAGCAAACATGATCATCTCGTCTTGGCAATACGCTCCTATTTTTAAAAGAACTACGAGCTTATTTTTAGAGTTAACTACATGATATTAAGGACCAGCTCGGCTAGCGCCGCGCGGGAAAGCTTTGAAATGTTCTCTTGTTTTGTTGAGAAATAGCATCGAAATTAAAATGTTTTCATGACTGCCACAGTGAGTAGTTACTGTCCATATTCTAGAAAATTTATTTTAATTTATTTGTCGCCAATTAGGATCTTAAATGTATATCGGCTTAATGACCTAGACTTGACTAGTTCAATTACAAACATTTTTTGCATTGAAGGCATTTTTTCTTCAATAAAACAAATAATATAACACGAAGCCTTAATATCTTAATAAATTATGAATACTACTTAGTAGCCTCATTTAACCGGGAAATGCAGGATTATATTACAGATTTGTATAAAAAAATTACAGAATTTCATTTTATTTTCATTTTATGATGTACAAGAGGGGCCATGTCACCGATGTGAATATTCACACCATCCATAATACACCAGGGAAGGGGAGAGGAGTGAGCAACACAGCATCTTTACCCATGGGGGTTAAAAAAGTTCTGCGAGGTATGCTTATGGTAAACCAACTGCTCAGGGATTGTAGAAAGGAAAGGGTTGGGTAGGTTTTGTGTGAAAAGCGCATAAGCTATTATCGTATCGTTGAAAAATGGCCTCGTTTGGTTGGCGCTCTCGTCACAGAGCACATCGATTACATCACACCGTCAATGAAAAAGAAATTAAAAGAGATTGAAAGAAATTATTAGTGAGTTTTAAACTGTGATTTACCTATTAGAAATAAATTTGTAAAATTGTCTCCGTGTACTGAACAGCCATCCCTCTCGCCCTCCCGCCGCCTAAACGTCTGAAGGAGTGTGACGTCAAACTCCGTCATCCATTCATTCAGCCGGACAACGAAAGAGCGTGCAATGAGCGTCAGCGACCCTAATAAAGGGTGGGGGAGCACCATACATGAACGATACCACAAATCGTGCCACCGTACCACATATTGTTGGGATGATAACCCAAATAGGTTGTTAGGCACTCCTTATGGTTATCGTTCATGCGGGTGTTTCAAAGCAATTTACATCTAATCAACCCTCTGTGCGACCCAACCCGTGCAATGTATTTAATGTTGAGAGCCTTGTGTGCTTAATCATGAGTGGTCACGGATCTGGCAATCTTCACATGACTATGCGTCCCGGTGACGACGACTACGATCTAGCCGGTTTACAATAGGTTTTATACAAGAGTACTAGAATAGATCGGAGTTTTCTACGTTCCCATGTACTCCTTGTTTACCTTCAATACTATTTCCTTCTCTTGTTGTATTGTGTTTCTGGATATGCCACTTCCATCCCTCTAACACAAGATAATGGATCCTCGCTCCGGAATGTCTTCAAAACTGGGGGGATTAAAATCGCTCTTCGTGCACAACCCTTCCAGATGATCGAAAGAGCGCTCAGTCCGATTGGTCTCACCCGATATTCTTGAAATATTTGACATTTTGAATGAAACATTGCCATTTCCAGACATCGTGTTGTTAGTTTTCTTGATGGTCTTGTTCTTAATGCTTGATTTGTCTTTCGCTTCGTATTTCTAAGAAATGACTCTATAAATAGATAAAAAAAAAAACACAAACACAATGTTTCCCGCCCATAAGCTGTAGACCGAGTGCAGAATCTTTATGATGATACTTTCCAAACGTGCATATCCATAGAAATAAATCCAATTCAATAAAGGATTGATTTCTACTGCGACTAAATCCAGCATTCCTACTAAAATATCAAATGCTCTGCTTAATCATTTATTATTAGTACAGAGCAATAAAAAATGTACGGTGATGATTAATCTGCTTTTATAAGCGGGTTCAAATGCACTTTTGGTAAGCATCAACACTGATCTGGCAACACTAGTGTGCATCTTTCCAATGTGGTAAAGATCCAGATCAGCCCTGGGATCTGGTAGCCTAATAAAGCTACCTCAAGGTTTTGCCAAAGCCCAGGGTGTTTAAAAAAAAAATACAGAATTGGTAATGTTTCACCGCATGTTCGGTAGCTAACTTTTCGAACAATGCTAGTTGCCCTCAATCAACTGGGGCTAGCTGACTTGGGACAAACCATTTCAAGTTTATATGGAAATTGCTATGGGGGAACCAATTTGTTTTGTTCATATCTATATAACAATTCACCATACCGATCTACATTAAAAAATGATACATGTGCTAAAAGGACTGAGAAAACTTCCAATAAGAATAGCTATAGAACTTTTCATCAGGGCAATACGAAAAAAGGCTACACGGATAGAAATCTCCTTATACCTTTTGGCAAATTTATATAGCTGATTATTCATAAATGTATTAGGCCTATTCTGCGCGGCGTGTGAGGTGAGGTGACAGTGAAGTGATGGTGAAGTGACAATTTTCACCTCGGGTGAGGTGAGTCTCCGTGCAATTCAAATGGAGAGTCACCTCGCGCGAGGTGAAACACTTCAGAAGTGATAGCGTGTCACCTCACCTCACACGCCGCGCAGAATAGGCCTATATAAGTCAACTAATAAGCAGACGCCTTGCAAAAAGTTAACGACGATCATGCGTCAAATGAAATGTATAAGCGGTCACACATACCTTTTATGCATTCTTATAGGACCTATGCGGTTTGTCTTATGGAATGTATAAGGCTGATGTTTTGGCAAAAATGTATAAGTGAAACACATGAATAAAATAATTGATTTTCGTTTCGTGTAGAAGACAATGATCAAAAAGTATGGTTTTCTTATAGTAATTTCCATATAAACTTCAAACAATATGTGCCAAGTCAGCTTCTTACCAAATGAGGTCCAGTTTTGGGAGACTGATCAGGACCCGATTTGAAGCCGTTTGAGCACTCTGGTGCGAAAGTTTCGAATTTTGCATCAGTCTACTGTCGAGCAAAGTGATCAAATTTAAAACTAAATTTGATGTTGTGATGTCGATGATCATGATTACTTAAGTTGCTGTCGTTTTGGTCGATTTAATGGTTAAAATATCAAAATTGAGAGCAAAGAAATCTTCCTGTGACCATGCTTGTACACACCAACTGCTCATTTGTTAATAACTTGTCCCTCAGTTGTTGAAATTTGTTTTTCTTTAAAGTAATTGATAGATTAGGATCATAGTTTACTAAATATATATGCAAAAAGTAGGTAAATCTTAACATTTGAATCAACGCCAATGATTTTTTCACTTAAAGTACGAGATGTGCAGCGAGCATGTCTCATTTCATTTTTACAACGCAAAAACAAATACAGTTTATTACTTGAATTAAAATCTACTTGTTTTTACGTATCTATAACAAGCTTAAACTCTATTCTATGGACTGATTCAAACATAACTTTGTTTCGTCAAATCTGTGTAAAGTTATTAGCAAATGAGCAGTTGATGAGTACAACTGTGTATGCCAAGCATGAATGTACACGAAAAGTTTTTTACTTTGTTCAGAAAATGTCGCAAAAAATACCAAAACTATGTTGTTCCATCCATAATGGAGAAACAAAATATTTAACCGCGTTTTTCTCAGCTTGCTGTTTTAACGAACGGGACAATTATACTGAAAAGGGCAGTATAGGGTGTCCCAGAAAGTATAAGCACACTTTCAACTCGCCGCCATTTCTACACGAAACGAAAATCAATTATTTTATTCATGTGTTTCACTTATACATTTTTGCCAAAGCATCAGCCTTATACATTCCATAAGACAAACCACATAGGTCCAATAAGAATGCATAAAAGGTATGTGTGACCGCTTATACATTTCATTTGACACATGAGCTTCATTAACTTTTTGCAAGGCGTCTGCTTATTAGTTGACTTATACATTTTATGAATAATCAGCAATAGAAATTTGCCAAAAGGTACACTGAACCAATTTGACATATTCCTGTTATGTGGAAGTCTAATAATTTTGCGCTATAAGATAATCCATTGAAAATGATATGATTGAAAATGTGTCAGGTAAATTCTATATGAATATCTGATACATTGACAATGCTGATAATTTGAAAACTTTTATATGATCGCCATATGATAAATGAAAATCGGTCAAATTATAATAATTAACTGAAATGGATTTGAAACCCATAAGCATAAGCTTTACTTTTCACCACAATATAATATATGTGTCATAAATCAATCGAAGTAAAGTTTATGTGAAAATCACATGAAATTTACTTATTCTTTTGACACATATATTTAATCGATTTCTAAAAATAAATCGAAAAATAAACACCAGGCAGTGGGAGCTTTCACAGTTGTGTTTTTTTATTGTAGCTGATTTGGGATTCGATCCAGAACTGTTGAGCTGTGATGCTTTTCGTGTCTGCGCTCGATTCCATTGGGCCACGGCTGACTTCAATATTGAGCTCGTTCAATTAGCATGAAGTAATAACAGCTCTCTCAACATGGAATATAGAGCAACGTTATGCTCGTTTTGCTAGAGTGAAGAAAAATAGCACTGACCAATATATGCTCCGTTTCAGTGGTGTCGTGTATTCAAATCATTATTAATGCTCCTGTGTGCAATAAAACAACGACTACATTATATGAGTTCATGGAACTGATTCATGAATCTTAGCAAATAAATATTGCAGTAGAATCATTTTTTTTCAATCTCAAAACATTCTTTTCCGGAACCCCTTATCTTATGAAACAATAACAAACAATGATTATTTATTACAGTATCATTGTTGTTAGCAATATTTAGTTCGACTAATCATTCTAATGAGTGTACGATACAAGGTACGATAACATAGTTGAAAATTGTTTCAATAATTTATAAAGAACAATTATGTAAGATGTATTTTATTGGGAGCGATGTTCATCCCAGAAAAACATACAAAAACAAATGTTTGCTGTTGGATTTCTTAAAAGGCAAATCTATATGACTATTTAATGATTGGGATA